TAATGGGGTAAACTTTATTTCTTTTCTACTGTATGGTTTAATCTTTCCATTGATATTTAGAACTACAAATGATCAGTGATTTGATGACAATGTCTGCGCAACTCGCACATGATGCTTGCTTACCTACCTACGCTTGTGAATATTAATAAAAGCACAGGACGTCAACCAACATTTTGCAACCTACTCAATCCTGGGAAGTCCTTTCCAGTTCTTCGCAGTTGTTTTGCTTTTTCCATGTCTGTCTCTAATTCTCGGTCCAGAGTGTTTTTCGGTCTATCTCTTTTCATTTCATTTTGAGCATTCCAAGTGAGGTCTTGTCTTGTGACGCAGTTGAGTGATTTCAATAATGTGTCCTATTCCCTTATTTCTTCCTCATTTGAAAGCTGGTTGGTTATCTCCTACAGTAGGTTACTGAGGATAGTGTCTAATCAACAGATCCGCAGTATTTTGCATAGACAGATGCAAACAAACATCCGTATCTTTCGGATGATGGTTTTCATAGTTCTCCAACTTTCCACTTCATACAATAGAACTGTCCTGATGTTTTTATTGAAAATTGTGACTTAGGTGTTGACTGTCGAGCAATTGCTTTGAGTTGCAGATGTTTTTCCACTGCAGAAATGATACCCTTTCATTGTCAATCTATGCCTTCACACTGCCATCAGATTCACCGTGTTTAACAACGATGTTAACTAAGCATGTCATAGAAGCCTTCATAATGTCATCTTGTCCTTGCTAGAACAGTGAATGCTCCACAACTAAACCAATCAAATCAGTAGATGAAACTCTACCATTTATTTCTATTAACAAGATGTATTCATTAGAATCATAAATGTTCTGATTTGTCTCCTTTTTACTGATTTCATTGTCAATGAATAGAAATCATTTTAAGATGGTGGAGAAAATTTATAGCGCAGATGGACAATCGTGATTCAGTTCCGTTCTCTCAGGTTTAAGGTCAATCAATCAACCAATCAAGATTGAGGTCAGCGAAACAGCTTACGAGTCATACGTAGATAGTTTCTACTTGAAGTTTCTGCTGGTGATGATGTTGTTGATCAGGAGGACAATGAAAAATCCATAACCAAAACATTTGTTGTGAACGAGAACACAGGTGAGGCAACCGGATTGTATTTAACAAAAATTACAGAGTTACTCAGTAAAATAGGAAAACCATATCGTAAATCGTCAATTTGCAAAATATCAGTTCATCATATCGAACTGGACTGTTCCTTTTGCAAAACATCAATCCACTGTCACTATTCATGCGTTTCATACAAATTCCATTGTGTTCTAACTTTTCCTTTCTTGATCTTCCTCCATCTTCTGCCTGCCAGACATTACGTTGACACTCACGTCATATACTACTTATAAGTAGCTCGCACCACACATTTAGCTCAGAGGAAAAACTCTAAAAATAGAATTTCTGTTCATATTTTACAGCCTAATTGTTGGATTTTTTTTCTCTACACTGGTTAGTGAGTTGCACCATACAGTTTTGAACTTTTAGACAGATCATAACAGTGAATAGAAGTATGTACATACTGAATGATTATCGATTACAGACCGGTATATATGATAAATAAATACCTAACTGGTTGATCAGATCAGACTCTATCGATCAAGTTGTAATATGGTCGCTAGTTCAAATCAATTCACATAGAATAAATGTTTGATATGATGGGGTAGAAACTCAAAGAAGTGGCTAGAAAATTCAACTGATCTGTGAAATGATACTTTAAAATTCCCGCCGGTAAAATGAACAAAACGAAACAAATCAAGTTTGATTGTTAAGAAATGATGGTTCAGGATCATCTGTTTTATCTCGAAAAAATAGGAATATTTTTTTTAAGTGTACTTTTGTAAACAGTTTTAGTGGCTTCACTGAAAATGGACTTAAGACTTACCATTTTTTGGTGGGTCGGGATGTGACTCTAATTTGTAAGAATGACTAGATATGTAGTGAAAGAGAACACAGGTGGGGCAACCGAATTATATTTAACAAAAATTACAGAGTTACTCAGTAAAATTGGAAAACCATATCGTAAACGGTTAATTTGCAAATCTTCAATCCATCATCAATCCATTGTCTGACATTTCACCACTATTCATGCATTTCATACAAATTCCATTGTTTTCCAACTCTTCCTTTCTTGATCTTCCCCCATCTTCGGCTGCCAGACATTACGTTGACACTCACGTCATATACTACTTATAAGTAGCTCGCACCACAGCACCACAGATATGCTATAAAATAAATCAGTAATCTGATTTCTGCATATCATACTTAGGCGAATCCCGTTTTGTAAAACAGCAGTAATAAGAGGTTAAATACGGATTCAGTTGGATAAATTTATTTCAAGTAATCGTTCTTACAGACATACAGACAGAAGAATACAATGCGTAAAATCAAAGCGAAGCGAAGTGGACCAGGCAAGTGAGCTAACTCAATCCGATGATGTATGACTGAGTATTTATAGTCAGATAAAAAAGAAGCTAGACATGTGATAAGCGAAATTAGCGATGTACACACACAGCTAAGTAAAAATAGCGAAGATATAAGAGAATAATTGACATGGTCGAAAGTTATGTAAATAATAACTCTAGAAGTATGGATAGTTAATTTGTCGTAAGGCTGCTGCTAAAAGCTCTGTGTGATATATATATTAGTACACACACTAAAAGGTAGTTTTGATATTCAGAACAGTTGAAATTAAGTAAATCTTACTGTTTAAGGCTTCTATTTATATCACTGATTGACTTTTGTTAGACAAAACACTAAAATACCATAAAACAATGAACATCTATTTTATCATGTGATTACCAAATTCTGACCCCCGACCACATCAAGGAAATATCAAACCATAATATTAAGTTACTTCTTGAAATCATGAATCGATCAATGTTAGATGAATCGATTGGAAACCTAAGAGGACTGGACGGCAATTTTGTCCTAATATGGGACTCCTGAGACTTACATGATTCGAGCCCACCACCTTCGATATTGAGCGCAAACGACCAACCTGTGAATCACTGAGCCAGTATTTGATTATGTCAATGTTTAACTTGGATCAATTCACAGCCTTGTGCCAC